AGCTGGTAGCAATAATGCCCTGTGGAACCCCACAAACACAGGCAACTTGGCAAATTTATGGCAGGGCCAGCAGCTCTGTGACAGCTGCTAGGACCACACAGGGAAGATGCACCCTCAGTGACGGGTGAGTGGAAGGGATGGGAAAGTGGAATAGAGACAGAGGGCCATTCCTAAGAAAACTATGCCTTCCCAGTTCTTGATGGCCTTTGAGAACACCTTTCTTTGAGTCTCCTTCCACTATACTGCTCTTCCCAAAGTCAGAGGAATAGATTTCCCCAGACTTCGTGGGACTTCTGTCTTTGGGCCTCCCCAGTGCACAGAGATCCTCTCCTGAGCATGTCATTTATCAGGTTTTCCATTCACATGACATGCTCCAGGCTCAAGGAGACTTGTGTGAGGAGAAACACAGCAAGGCAGGGACTGATGGTCATTGGTAATGGAGAAACATCTAGCAATGTCTGTATCTCCTTCAAGAGAGTGTGCTTGAATGATTAACATCTGCATTGTGCAGAGGAGTGTTGAAGTCTCCCTAGCTTGTTGAAAGACATCCCCTTCTCCTTTGGCCATCTCTACGCAGGTGAGGGGAAAAAAATGACAACACAGAAGGAAACACTAAGGGATGCAGAAAGTGTTTAATGAGTCTGAGGAGAGAAATGATGTCACCCAAGTAGATGCCCTGTGTGCAGTGAACAGCAGGAGCAGACAAGATTTTCTTCTCCTATCCTATAGCAGCATGGCCACAGAGCTGTATCTCCCAGCCCAGAGTTTTAGGGAGAAGAGCAGGTCACACAGGGTTCATTTTGGGGGGTACTCAAAGAGATCTCTAAAGGGAAATGAAAAAAATTATAATAGATAGAAAGAGTGAGCAATGAGTATCAGTAGACTTTCTCCATGTTAACAGAGATGCCATACTGGCCACTACATGTCTGTCTTGCAGAGCAAAAACAGCAACAAAACATTTGTTCTTCTGTCCAATGCCACGTTCAGCATTCCTGGGGGTCCTTGCCTGGGTCAGCATGCAGCACATTTAGCAGGGGGGGCACCTTCTGCCACAGTAGCGGTTGGAAATGCAGGAGAGGTCCAAGCCCCCCGACGTGATGGGCACACCCTCAGAGCTGAGGATGCTGCCAACAGCAGCGGAGGTGGAGGATCCGACGGCGGTGTTCTGAGGGAAGGAGCTGAGGATGGGTCCGGGCAGGGTCACCACCACGGGAGAGGGCTGGATGACAATGGTGGAGGGCTGGCACTGCCTGACACAGGGCTCATTGCAGCTGCTGGCCAGAGGAGTCGGGCCGCAGGGCCGGCATGGCACGCACTGGTCACAGCAGGACATGTCTCAGGAATGGAGGTGCACCTGTTTGGAAGCAGGACATGGGGATGCATGAGGAGCAGCCTAGCATCACACTACTAGAGAATCCATGCACATGCAGTGCTGGGAACTGAAAACAGTTCAGGGATGTCCAAGGGATTCTTGGTCTCATCCTGACATAGCCC